CCGACAAAAAGAAAAGCAAACCTTCAACAAAGCCCAGGCAGACAAAAGTTATGACACCTTTCAGCTTAATTAGCAAAAAGCTGAAGTGGAGGTGTGGCTCAAGTGGTAGAGCAGCAGCCTTAAGCAAAAAAGCATTGGGAGGGCTGGGCAGAGATGGGTGGGGAAAAATATATATGTGTGTGTGTATACATATTATATATATAATATATAAATATATATTATATATAAATATATAATATACATAATACATATTATATATATAAAGCTAAGGAACAATGTGCAGGCCCTGAGTTCAAGCCCCAGTATTGGCACAAGAAAAGAGTTCATACCACTCCTGAGCAGCTATCTAGAATATCACAAGCCAAGATACCACAAGGACACTTGAACAAGACTCTTGAACATCCGTGTTCATTGCTGCACTATGCACAATAGCCAAGTTGTGGGAGCAACCCAGATGCCCTGCAATAAATGAGTGGATCCAAAAAAATGTGATAGCTATACACAATGAAACTTTACACAGCCATTAGAGAGGATAAATTGTCATTTGCAGGGAAATGGATGGACCTAGAAAAAAAATCATGTCAGGCAGGTGAGGCAAGCCAAGCTCAGAGAGACAAACAGTGCATGCTTCCTCTCATATGCCGAGGCTAGATCTAAAATATACCAGGGCATGATAAATTATACAAAACTCTAGGTATTCATGCACAGTGAGACCACAGGAGGATACAGACAAAGGAGGAACAGAAAAGCACAATGCCTATGTGCATCTGATCATACAAAATGACACTTATCAAAATGAACTCCAAGAGGACTGAGAATGTGGCTTAGTGGTAGAGTGCTTGCCTAGCATGCATGGGGTGGGTTGTTCTGTTTTTTTGTCAGTTGTGGGGCTTGAACTCTGGGCCTGGGCGCTGTCCCTCAGCTCTTCTTCAGCTCGAGGCTAGCACTCTACTACTCGAGCCACCACTTCTGGTTTTCTGCTGGTTTATTGGAGGTAAGTCTCACGGACTTTCCTGCCTGGGCTGGCTTTGAACAGTGATCCTCAGATCTCAGCCTCCTGAGTAGCTAGGATTATACCCATGAGCCACCGGCTCCTGGCTGAGGCCCTGGGTTTGATTCCTGAGTACCACATAAATAAACAAAAAAGAGTCACTAAATAAAAATAAATGAACTCCAGGAAATGAAACCAAAAGCTGTTTTTTTTTCTATCCTTTTTGTTCTGTTTGTTCATGTATGTCTTTGGTAATGTAAGAAAAGGCACAGAAGTGGGCACTGTGTTGAGATTGAACTATACAACTTGTGGGTGGAGATGGGAGGGAAAAACTGGGAGAGAGTGAGGGAAGGAGTAACACTGTCCTCCCCTCCCCCCCAAAAAGAAAGAAATGGACTCTTGGGACTGGGAATGTGGCTTAGCGGTAGAGTGCTTGCCTAGCATGCATGAGGCCCTGGGTTCTAGTCCTCAGTACCACATAAACAATAAATAAGTAAATAAAAGTAATAAAATTAAGCCGGGCACCGGTGACTCACGCCTGTAATCCTAGCTACTCAGGAGGCTGAGATCTGAGGATCTCGGTTGAAAGCCAGCCCAGGCAGGAAAGGCCTTGATACTCTTATCTCCAATAAACCGCCAGAAAACCAGAAGTGGCGCTGTAGCTCAAGTGGTAGAGTGTTAGCCTTGAGCTGAAGAGCTGAGGGACAGCGCTCAGGCCCAGAGTTCAAGCCCCATGACTGACAAAAAAAAAAAGTCTCATGAGGTTCCTGCCCAGGCAGGTTTTGAACTGAGATCCTCAGATCTCAGCCTCCTGAGTAGCTGGGTTACATGTGTGAGCCACCGGCGCCCGTCTGGGGTCTCCCACCCTTCAGCACACTGCCCCCTAAAGTCCCCACAGGCTGTTCTAAAACCAAATACAGCAAGCTGCCATGTTGGTGGAAGGACACAATGGAGAGTGATGTATTGTCCGAAGTCAGGCCAGAGCAGGAGAGGCCGGGACAGCACAGAGAACCCAGAATCCTCCTACCCCGTCTGCCTTTCTGGAGAGTCAAAGCACTACCTGGTCCTGTGGGGACTGAGGGAGGAGAAGAAGGCTGGTCCACACTGGCTTGGCTAAGGCCAGGGGACTCACACCCGCTCCCAGCTTGAGCCAGGCCCCAGGTCTCCTTGCAGTTTAAACGTGTGGAACAGAAGCCTGAAAAGTGGATCATCTGTGGAGCAGAGCCTAGGGCCCATCCCCACCTCTCCAACCCAGTGAACTCAATTCCAGGCCTTCTGGGGGTAGGCACGGCACTCCATTGGACCCTTCTCTTGGCTTTTCTTTATAGGGCTTATACGTGGATTCACAAAAACTCACAGGCCTTTCCGTATGACCTTGCTTCATTCGTCCCCTCTCCTGGCTTCTGGGTTCCTTAATATAGTGACAAAGTGGGGCTGGGCTTGCCAAATTATCTCGCAGGAATTTTCCAGGCCCATTTCAGACAAGGTCCTAGCAGGGACAGTGTGAAGGGGGCAAAGGCCTCTTGCTGCCTCCCAAGCCACCGCTCCATTCGCTGCCCCCTTGCACGCCCGTACACCCACCTCACGCCCTGCAGGTGCCCGCTCGGGGCTTTGCACAGACCGCGCCTGAGCAGCTCAGCGTTGGCCCCAGGACTCAGTCGCAGCTGCAGTCCCCAGAGAAGCTGCCATCTGTGGCCGCTCTGGGTGTTGGAGGCTGAGATGGGATTAGGTCAACGGCTCCCACAGGAGACACAGCTTCTCAGGCTCAGGGGCTCAGAGCAGGCTGGGGGGGGCAGTCCTGGGCTGGCTCAGGAATCTGGAATGTTTCTCTGTCCATGGGAGACCCATTCCTCGACCCCCCCACCCCCCATTCTCAGGATGACAGGAGGCAGGACCTGTCTCAGCCAATCAGCAGCCTGCTAGTACCAGGGCTTTATTCTCTGTTGCCCTAGCAACCAGCCTCCTTTTTCTGGTTCCCTCTCTCTGCAGGCGCTACCTTACCGGGGAGGACAGGGAGGGCAGGATTGCGGAATGGGGAGCAATGGTGGGTCCCAAAGCTGCTGACAGAACTGTAAGGGTTTGAGAGTAGGGGAAGTTGGGGTGTCTGGTAATTGAGTGAGGACCACAGAAGCAGTGACAGCAGAGCCAGTGAGGGTTTCATGTTAGAGAAAAGATCCAGGACTGAGACAGACAGGACACATGGGCTCAGTGGAACTTCTTTATTTGTGCAGGTTCTAGGGCTTGAACTCTGGGCCTCTGTGATAACCTGTAGTTTTTTCACTCAAGGTTAGGGCTCTACCACTTGAGCCACATCTCCACTTCTGGGCTTTTGTTGGTTAATCGAGATCAGAGTCTCTTAGAAGGAGCTGGGAATGTGGCCTGGTGGTAGAGTGCTTGCCTAGCATGCATAAAGCCCTGGGTTCGATTCCTCAGTACCACATACAAGAAAAAGGCAGAAGTGGTGCTATGGCTCAAGTGGTAGAGTGCTAGCCTTGAGCAAATGAGGCTCAGGGACAGTACTAAGACCCCGAGTTCAAGCCCCAGGACTTGAAAAAAGAAAAAAAGGGTCTTCTAGACTTTTCTGCCTGGGCTGGCTTTGAACCATGATCCTCAGATCTCACTCTCCTGAGTAGTTAGGATGACAGCTCTGAGCCACCAGCGACTGGTAGCAGTTCTTGATCATGACTTGTGAGTTGGAGACCAGCACTATGGATAAAGAGTAGAAACAGAAAAGAAGAATAGAGTCCAGAGGTGGTTGTTATTTTCGGTAAGGTTTCTGATAAGGTGACTGAGTCACCTTATGATTCAGAAACATGAATGAAATGAGAGAACAAGCTATTGACTTTGGAGAGGAGCTTTTCATGCAGAGAGAACGGCAGGGCTGAGGGTTCAAAGGCAGGAGGACAGCTGGAACATCTGAGGGACGATCTAGTGGCTGGCGGGCAGGAGGGGGTATTGGAGGCAGAAGAGCAGATGAGCTCAGAGCGATTGTCAGGGACAATGTCAGGGACACGCAGCCTCTGAGGTGGTGCCAGGCCTTTCAGAGAACTCAAGGAGGAAGGGGGTGCGAGGTAGGTTTGATGGAGAAGCGGTCTGCTCTCATTCTGACGCTGTGTGAGGACTAGGGGCAGCCCTGGGGAACTGGATGGAAGCCGGCAGCCAGGTTACAGATTCCATCCATCTAGCTCTGGTGCTGACAGAGGAAGAGGTGTGGAGGTGGCCAGCTTCTTGGATATGTTGTTAGAACGCACAGGTTTTGCTTGCAGACTTGATGTACAGTATAAAGAACAGTCCAGAATGACCCCAAGCTTTTATTGTCAGCAGTTGTAAGTCTGGAGTTAGCTGATGGGGTGGCTCTAGAGTAAGGTGAATGAGTATGAATGAATAAAAGGGAATGAATGAATCCCAGAAAAAGTAAGACACATGACAAAAGCTCGGCCCATCCTTTTTTTGGGGGGAGGGTGTCGGTGAGATTTGAGGATCGGGGTTCAAAGCCAGCCCAGGCTCACAGGCGTGAGCCACCAGTGCCCAGCTTCTGCCCAACATCTTATGTGCCTGAGGTCAGTGCTAGAATATCCCCTTAATATAGGAGATAAATGCCCGTGGCTCACGCCTGTCATCCTAGCTACTCAGGAGGCTGAGATTTGAGGATCACAGTTCAAAGCCAGCCCAGGCAGAAAAGTCCATGAGACTCTTGTCTCCAATTAACCACTAGAAAACCAGAAGTGGCGCTGTGGCGCAAGCCGTAGAGTGCTCGCCTTGAACTGAAGGGCACAGGGACAGCGCCCAGGCCCAGAGTTCAAGCCCCACGAACCCCCCCTCCACACACACACAATATAGGAGATAAGGAGCTGGGCATACTGGTCTACAGTCCCCAAAGAGTCTGCTTCCCCTCCCACAAATTTAAAAATAAAAAGAGTTAGCGGTTCCTTTAAGAGTCCCGGCCCTCCGGGGAAGCCCCGCCCACAGAGCAGCGTGCCCCGCCCTCGTCCGCTGGGCGGGACTCGAGGCGGTTTGAATGTGCGGCGCCTCCTGCGGGAGCCACGGTCGGGCCTGCGGCTGGGATGTCGGTGTTGATGCCGATGGACAAACTGCCAGGCCTGAACAAAGCCACCATCTTGGTAGGTGCCGGTGGCCCCGCATCCGCGACCAGCCTTCCTCCTCTGGCTGCGCCTCGACCCGCGATCTGGGCGCTTCCTTAAGTGCGGCGTTGTGGAGCCGGGTTTGCGGTGGGCGGGACAGCCGCTCTCGGAGCCAATCAGAGTGCGAGGCTGGCTCGGTACCTGCTTGTGATTGGCTGGGTGGGGGGTCCCGCTGGGCCGTGTTTTCCCGCCAGGCGGTGTGGGTGAGTGCGACGGCCTGGCCCGCAGCGGGCCCCGGGCTCTGTCTCTCTCCTCGGGCCTCCGCGCTGGGGCTCCGTTCTAGAGGAACGGCGCCCTTCCCGCTGCCGTCGGGCCCGATCCCTCCGGGGGAGGGGGGAGAGGCTGCACGTGCCCCGAGGATCTGTCCTGCCCGGGTCTCAGACCTCCCCCCCCCCCCGCAGCTGGTGGGCACCGAGGACGCACTTCTGCAGCAGCTGGCGGAAGCGATGCTCCAGGAGGACTGCGCGTCGGAGTTGCAGGTGTGAGTAGCCGCAGGTGTGAGTAGCCGAGGCCTTGGCGGGAAGGAGGGGGAAGGGAGCCGGCGGGAGGGGGGGTCCTGCCCGCCAATCCCGCCCAGCCCCTCAGAAACCTACACCAAGGAACCTAGACCTTGGCACCCTCGTGTCATGTGTTCCTCCTAGCGCTTAGTAAGTCACCTGTGAGCTAGGCGCAGGTGGCTCGCACCTGCAATCCTAGCCGCTCAGGACTGAGGATCTGAGGATCGTGTTTCAAAGACCTGGCAGAAAAGTCTGTGGGACTCAACCCCAGTGTTCCAGCCCCCAACCCCCCAAGGAGGTGGAGCTGTGACTCAAGTGGAAGAGCACCAGCTATGAGCGAAAAAGCCAAGGGACAGCACCCAGGAGAGGATGCTGGAAATGTCTCTGCAAATCTTTCTTCCTCCAAAACCTCACGAACTGCTGATGTTCTAGTCAGGTGACTAAAAATGTGTATCATTCTCCCTGATGGAAAGATAGGCTCAGAGGTAGATTTTTTTCTTTTTCTTTTTTTTTTTTTGCCAGTCCTGGGACTTGAACTCTGGGCCTGGGCGCTGTCCCTCAGATCTTCGCTCAAGGCTAGCACTCTACCACTTGAGCCATGGTGCCACTTCCGGCTTTTTCTGTTTATGTTGTATTGAGGAATCGAACCCAGGACTTCATGCATGCAAGGCAAGCACTCTACCACTGAGCCGCCTTCCCAGCCCGGCGGTGGATGTTGAAGGGAACTTCCAAAGTCCAGAGGTATTTCCTCTGTGAGAGTGAGTGACCTCTACAAAACAGAGTAAGCTCCTCCCCCCCTTTTTTTTTTTGGTATGGAGGTGGGAGGGTAAGTCCAGGGCTTGAACTTAAGAGCCTGGGCACTGTCCTTGAGCTCTTTTTTTTTTTTTTTTTTGGTCTGGTCATGGGCCTGAATTCGGCCTGGGCTCTGTCCCTCAGCTCTTCAGCTCAAGGCTAGCGCTCTACCACTTGAGCCACAGCGCCATTTCCGGCTTTTTTTTTTTCCTGTTTATGTGGTGCTGAGGAATGGAACCCAGGGCCTCAGGCATGCAAGGCAAGCACTCTACCACTGAGCCACCTTCCCAGCCCCACCCTGAGCTCTTTTGCTCAAGGCTAACTCTCTACGACTGAGCCACAGTCCTGCTTCTGGTTTTCTGGTGGTTAACTGGAGATAAGAGTCTCACAAGCTGAGCGCCGGTGGCTCACGCCTGTAATCCTAGCTACTCAGGAGGCTGAGATCTGAGGATCGCAGTTCAAAGACAGCCTGGGCAGGAAAGTCTCTGAGACTCTTATCTCTGATAAACCACTAGAAAACCAGAAGTGGTGCTGTGGCTTAAGCGGTAGAGTGCTCACCTTGAGCTGAAGAGCGCAGGGACAGTGCCCAAGCCCTGAGTTCAAGCCCCACGACATACCAAAAAAAAAAAAGTTTCACAGACTTTCCTGACCCAGCTGATTTCAAATTGTGATCCTCGCTGAATAAAGATAGTTCATAGAGGGCTGGGAAGGTGGCTCAGTGGTAGAGCACTTGCCTTGCATGCTCGAGGCCCTGGGTTCGATTCCTCAGCACCACATAAGAAAAAAAAAGCCGGAAGTGGCGCTGTGGCTCAAGTGGTACAGCACTAGCCTTGAGCTGAAGAGCTGAGGGACAGTGCCCAGGCTCAGAGTTCAGGCCCCACGACTGGACCCAAAAAAAAAAAAAGATAGTTCATAGAGCTAGCTGTCTGCATCCACGTTGGCAGGCTTTCAGACTAAATATCAAACACTAACCAGTGACCTCAAACGCATGGTTTGGAAATGGAAAAGAATTTTGTTTTTCTTTTTTTCTTTTGAACTCGGGGCTTCTTGCTCTTGCTTGGCTTTTCCACCCAAGGCTGATGCTCTACCGCTTGAGCCACAATTCTGATTTTTTTTGGTGGCTATTGGAGTTAGAGTCCCACAGACTTTTGCCCCGGCTGCTTTTGAACCTGAATCCTCAGATCTCAACCTCCTGAGTAGGTAGTATTACTGGTGTGAGCCACTGGTGCCCAACAACATGGAAATGGCCATTGTAAGGTGAGTCTGTAACCTGGAATTTTTTTTTCCCTTAAGCCACTTGGCAAAGTCCCTCCCTCTGCCCTCCAATGGGAGTCGGCCCCGAATTGACCTGATTGTCTTTGTGATTAACCTTCACAGCAAATACAGGTGAGAACCAGAGTTTGGGGCTGCCAGGGCCCTGGCTGGCCTGGCTGGGAGTACAAGGGCGGGGCCTCACCTGTGGGAAGGGAGGGGTGGTGAGAGGTTTTCTGGGATGAGCCTAGAGGATCAGGAGGGAGGAGCTGGTGGCCAGTGAATAATGTTTACAAGACACCAACCAGTGCCCATCTATGAGACTCTTATCTACAGGTAACCAGCAAAATGCTGGACTGGAGATGTAACTCAAATGGCAGAGCCGGTCCTGAGTGAAAAGCTAAGCAGGAATATAAGGCCCTGAGTTCAATCCCCCATTCAAGCGCCAAATGAATAAAAAGAATTATAGTTTAGAATAAAGTAAAAGCTGGGTGCTCATGGCTCACACCTGTTATCTTAGCTATTCAGGAGGCTGAGATCTGAGGATCACGATTTGAAGCCAGTCTGGCCGGGAAACCCATTGAGACTCTTATCTCCAATAAACTGCTCAGGAAAACTGCCAGTGGTAGAGTGCCAGCTTGGAGTGAAAAGTCCAGGGTTAGCATCCAGGCCCTAGGTTCACGGCCCACAGCCAAGAAAAAAAGTGTTTTTAAAACTACATTGTGAAACTGTCCTCTGGCTTATTTCCTCACCTTGCCCTGTGGCCACCCAGCTTCCAGAACGTGGAGGAATCTCTGTGCCACGTGGACTCCAGATTCTTCCTGGGCAAGCTCTGTTTCCTCGCCACAGGTGGTAAGTGTGTCCCCGCCTGCTTGCCAGGGTCCCCCAACCCCCATCTCTGTCCTGAAGATGAGCAGCAGTGCAGTAGCGCAGTCTAACAGCCAAGCTGAGCAGACACTCCCACCAATGCTGAGATGCCTGTTGTCTTGTGGCTTTTATAGTAAAGCCCAAATTATTGTCAAGATGTGGACTAAGAGCCGGGCGCCAGTGGCTCACACCTGTCATCCTAGCTACTCAGGAGACTGAGATCTGAGGATCAGAGTTCAAAGCCAGCCCGGGCAGGAAAGTCTGTGAGACTCTTATCTCCAATAAACCACCAGAAAACTGAAAGTGGCTCTGTGGCTCAAGTGGTAGAGTGCTAGCCTTGAGCTGAAGAGCACAGGGACAGCACCCAGACCCAGAATTCAAGCCCCATGACTGACAAAAAAGAAATAAAAACAAAACTGTGGACTAAGCAGAGTGTGGTAGCACATCCCTGTAATCCCAGTACTTGGGGAATTGCCAGATCCAGGGCAGTCTGCAGTACGTAGTAAGATATTGTCCAAAAAAAAAAAAAGTCTTGCTTCTATCTTCTAGTGTCAGCTCCTATTACTGTCAAATTTTGATTTTGGGTCAGTTGAAATGTCCTGTTGTTCCTGAGACTTTGTGTTTAATAGTCATAGCTAACCTGTACCAAATACTTTTGTTGTTGTTGATCATGAGACTTGAACTCTAGGCCTGGACGCTATCCCTGAGCTCTTCAGCTCAAGGCTGGTGCTCTACCACTTGAGCCACAGCACCACTCTGGTTGTCTGGTGGTTAATTGGAGATAAAAGTCTTATGGACTCTCCTGCTCAGGCTGGCTTTGAACTGCAATCCTCAGATCTCAGCCTCCTGAGTAGCTAGGATGTCAGGCGTGAGCCACTGGTACCAGGCTCCCAAATATTATTTTTCTATTGTTAGTCTTTCCTTGGGCTTGAAGTTAGGGCCTGTGCACTATCTCTGAGCTTTTTTGCTCAAAGCTAGTGCTCTGCCACTTAAGCCACACCTCCACTTCCTGCTTTTTGCTGGCTAATTGGAAACCTTAGAGTCTCATGGACTTTCCTGTTAGGGCTAGCTTTGAACCACAGTCCTTAGATCCCATCTCCTGAGTAGCTAGGATTGTAGACGTGAGTCACGGCACTGGCTCAGAGCTCACTCTTAGCACTCTTGGTCTTATTGTCTAATGAGATGGTCTTGACTGCCCAGCAAAGAAGATATAAACAGAATTGTCACCGACTGATGAGTGAAAAACTGAAGCCCGGCACGGTGGGGTGGACAGTGCGTGGCCAGGGTGTCTGGGATGCACTGTCGCATGTCTGGCTTCTTTGCAGCTGGACAGGAAAGCCACTGCAGCGTGCACCAGAGCATGGTCGTGAAGCTGGCCCACACCTACCGCAGCCCCCTGCTCTTCTGTGACCTGGAGGTGAGGATGCGGCTCACCACGGCCAACACTGCACTCGGGTGCGGGGCAGGGGCTGTCAGCGCATGGTGGGTAAGGCAGGAGTACGGGTCACTGAACACCCAGACGAGAGACTCCTAATGTGGAGAAGACATCATAAGACTCTGGTTTGAATCCTGATCCTTCAGGGTTCCCTTGGGGTACACAGGTATAAAGAAGGGATATATGCCAGTCTCTGTTATTAGTTACGTTTGTGTGTGTGTGTGTGTACGTACATGCACACATGCACACGCACACATGTGTGCCAGTACCTGAAGCTTGAATTCAGGGCCTTGCACTCTCATGTTCCCTCATAGCTGGTGCTTACCACTTGAACCACACCTCCACTTCTGGCTTTTGGGGAGTTAATGGGAAACTTGTGTCTTGGGCTGGGCACTAGTAGCTCACACCTGTAATCCTAGTTACTCGGGAAGCTGAGATCTGAGGATCACAGCTAACAAGAAACTGGAAGTGGAGCTGTGGCTCACAGTTAGAGCACTATAGCCTTGAGCAAAAATGCTGAGGGACAGCTCTCGGGGCCCTGAGTTCAAACCCTACAAATGACCAAAAAAAAAGTAAAAAAAGAAACGAAGAAGAAAAAGAGTGTGATGGGATTTCCTGCCTGGACTGGCTTTGAACTGTGATCCTCAGATCTCAGCCTCCTGAGTAGTTAGCATTACAGACGTGAGCCACCAGCACTAGGCTGCTTTTATCTAGGTGGGGTAGAGTGTGTGGGCTGCTGGCCTTGGTGCCTTCTAACCATGTGCAGATGGTGCAGTTCCATCTGTGACCATGGAGTGGCAGGCTGCACCAACTCACGGGTCATCCTGAAGCCTGGGAACTCCAGTCTCTAGACATTAATTGCCTGTGGCTGCTTCCAGCCAGCAGCAGGAGCCGCTCAGAGCCTCCACCTGTGCTCTGCAAATGAAACCCCCAGCTTTGCTGCTGGTGATGCTGGGATTTGAGCTCAGGGCTTTGCTATTACTAGACAGGTGCTCCACCATTACTAGACAGGTGGCCGTGCCTTCTCAGAATCTAGACAATCAAGACGAGGTGCCAAGATCATGCCTGGAATCCTAAGCTGCTCAAAAGACTGAGACTTGTGGATCAAGGTTCAAAGATAGCCGGAGCAAGAAAGTCTGTGAGACTTTTAACCCTGGTCGGAGCAAGAAAGTCCGTGAGACTTTTAACCCTGGTCGTGGGGCTTCAACTCACGCCTGGGCACTGGTCCTGAGCTCTTGTGTTCAAGGCTAGTGCTCTATGACTTGGGCTACAGTTCCACTCTGGCTTTTTGGAGATAAGTGTCTTATAGACTTCCCTGCCTGGGCTGGCTTTGAACCACGATCCTCAATCTCAGCCTCCTGAGTAGCCGGGATTACTGGCTTGAGCTACCAGCCCCTGTCTTGTGAGACTCTGCTCTCCATTAAGAAATCAGAAGTGGGGCTGTGGCTCAAGGGGTAGAATGTGAAAAAGCCAAGAGATAGCGCCCAGTTCCTAAATTCAAGCCCCACACTTGCACAGACAAGAATACAGATTCAAGCCGGGCGCTGGTGGCTCACGCCTGTAATCCTAGCTACTCAGGAGGCTGAGATCTGAGGATCGCGGTTCAAAGCCAGCCCGGGCAGGAGAGACTGTGAGACTCCTATCTCCAATAAACCACCAGAAAACGGGAAGTGGCGCTGTAGCTCAAGTGTTAGAGTGCTCGCCTTGAGCTGAAGAGCTGAGGGACAGCGCCCAGGCCCAGAGCTCAAGCCCCACGACCGACAAAAAAAAAAAAAGAATACAGATTCAGGTGTCCTTACCTGTCTCCGTGGGTCTGAGACTCGAGGAAAGGTCCTGAGAGGGAACATGGGTGGCCCCAGAAACGGGGCAAAAGCCACAGAACCAGCTTAAGGCCACCTGGGGATGGCACCCCAGCTAGAGAGAGCTCCCGAGAGGGCAGGTTACTTCTGAGGTCATCCCAGACGGTTTCCCCACCCATCTCTGCCTTTCCCTGCAGGTGGAAAGTTTCCGGGCCTCCATGGCACAGCGCCTAGTGCGCATGCTGCAGATCTGTGCCGGTCACGTGCCCGGCGTGTCAGCCCTGAACCTGCTGTCCCTGCTCAGGAGCTCTGAGAGCCCTTCACTGGAGGAGCTGTGAGCCTCAAATGACAGGCGGCGGTGAGGACCAATCAGGGCTCGGCAGGCCTGAGTCAGGAGGGAGGCCAGCACCCTCCCACTCCCAGGCTCACACTAGTGAGTCCTGCATCATTCGGTCGAAGTCGTGGTGTATCTCCACTTCCATCGTGGTGTATCTTCACTTCCTTCTGGTGTATATCTCCACTTCCTCCGTGGTGTATCTCCACCTCCGAGCTCCTGAAGACTAAAGGTCCACGGCTTAAAAAAAAAAAAGTTTGAAAATCACTGGGTCATCCAGCGCTTCTGCTTCACAGATGAAAAAACTGACTCAGAACAGAGGGTGTGGGGAGGGGAGCTTGAACTCCAGGATCCCAGAAGACCCCCACATCCTGGCTCTGCTGTTCTTCTGGGTCCCCACTATTGCCTCTGAGAGCCCCAGCTAGTCAGAAGCCCTGGGAGGGGCCAGGCCCTGAGCCCTCCCTGCCCTCCCTGCCCCTGGGGCCCGGCTCCTGTCCCTGAGAACAGGCAGGCTTGAGCCTCAGCTCCACTTCCAGTTTGCTGATGGGTCGTGGTTTCATGGACTTTCCTGTGCCGCAGCTGGCTTTGAACCTTGATCCTTAGATCTCCTGAGTAGCTAGGAGTACAGACTTGAGCCACCAGCGCCCCACCCCCAGTATCCAGCAAGGGTTCGACACACCTGGCTGGCTTCAAGACAGCTGAGGCCCAGCGAGTCATGTGTCACCCCACAGTGCAGGGCTTGTCACGCTTCGCCAAGCCCCGGCACAGTGTTCTTCAGACAGGGGAGGCTGCTGAGCCCCCAGGTCAGAGTTCATGACACTGAGACTTGTGTTCGTGCAGTCACAGAGCTGACAGGCAGCAGAGTCCTGTCCCCTCCCCACACCCGCCACATTTCCCCCACTTCTGTATGTCTGGTGGTCCAACAAAGGTTTGGCTTTCTCCCTGGGAGGACCTGAGAGGCGTGGAAGGACACAGGCCTTGCTCCTGACAGGAGCAGCCTCCCGGCTCGCCCTCGTCTGTGCTGTCCCTGAGCTTCTTTGTTCAAGGCTGGCGCTTCCACCTCGGGCTCTTTTGATGGTTAATTAAATATTAGTCTCGCAGTTTTGTCTTTTGTTTTTTGGTCATGGGGCTTGAACTCAGGGTCTAGACACTGTCCTTGAGCTCTTTTGCTCAAGGCTAGCATGTTACCACTTGGAGCCACAGCTCCCCTTCTGGTTTTCTGGTGGTTCATTGGAGATAGGAGACTCAGACTTTCCTGCCCAGGCTGGCTTGGAACCGTGATGGTCAGATCTCAGCCTCCTGAGTAGCTAGGATTACAGGTGTGAGCCACCATGGCTGGCAGGCAGGGGGCTGTTCCTTAAGGACCTTGCTCCCTCTTGCTGCAGTCTCTGCCTTAGGAGGTTCTAGGTCCTGTTAACCCTAAGGAGAAAGAGGCAGAGGGAAAGCCCAGCCCCCCCTCCCCGCACCCCTGCACTGTACCAGTGAGGGCTTGACTGGACTTTGGCCAGCTTCAGGGACACCTCAGGGCATGGGGGGTCAGGCAGGGAGGGGTGGGGGGGGGAGTCAAAGGAATAAGCTAAGAGCCAGAGGTGAAGGATTGCTTGTCCTTAAAGGGACAGGCCCAGAAAGCCAGCCTTGTCTGAGGGTGCAGGCCTGTGGGAGCTATCCTGTCCCCACCTGTCTGGGCCATAAAGGGCGGCCTGGAGGCTGGCAGAGCAGGTCTGCGCTGCTGCACCTTTCACCTCCCTGCCCTGCCCCAGCCGGCATGGGGCCCGCCTCTCCCTGAGGTCCCTGGGCCACATTTTCCTTGCCACCTGGTGCCATTTAACAAGAGAAGTGGCATCACACTCTCCAGCGAGGTCCTGGGAGCCTTCCAAGTGCTGGGGGAACTCGGGGCTGCCATTGCTGCCAGCTCCCTGCCAGGCTTGGCAGGAGCCCTGGCGTGGAGAGGCTGCCCGCCCCGCGCCACCCCGCGGAGGCACCGGCATCAGGTGCCCTCAGACCTGCTGTCCCCGGGAGGCTCGGGACAGGCCGGGCATCAGCCTGGAGGCCCAAGGTAGTGCCCAGGAGGCCCAGCGCTGCCCCATGAGCCCGGCTGGGGGGAGGGGCTGCACTCTGGTGGCACGGCCCCTGGCAGGTCATCTGTCACGCTGAGCCTGTCCCTCCATTGCAGGGTGGGGTCAGCTAAGTGGAGGCAGATTTTGGAAGTGGAGGACTTGGAGACCACAGGTCTGAGTGGTGACCAGAGGGTCAGCTGAAGATACCAGCCTGGGCCTGGAAGGTGCTTAGATGAAGCACCCAGAACTCAGGGGGGCGGGGCCTGCCCCAGGTCACAGCTTCATTTGTCCCCCTCAGGCCCCCTGGATTTGGACAGCCCTGGGGCTGAGCCCAGGGAGCTGGAATTCGCTTCCAGAAGCAACCCAGGCTCAAGGGTTCTGGCCCCAGTTTGGTACTGTGTGTGTGTGTGTGCATGTGCGTGTGTGCATGTGTACCAGTTCTGGCCCCAGTTTGGTACTGTGTGTGTAGTATGTGTATGTGTACCAGTACTGGGACTTAAACTCAGGTTCTGGGCACTGTCCCTTAACTTTTTCACTCAGGGTTGGCGCTCTACCACTCAAGCCACACAGCTCCACTTCTGGTTTTTTGGTGGCTAATTGGAGATAAGTGTCTCCTCAAGTTTTGTTTTTGTTTTTTGTTGGTCATGGGGCTTGAACTCTGGGCCTGGGCGCTGTCCCTCAGCTCTTCAGCTCAAGGCCAGTGCTCTACCACTTGAGCCACAGCACCACTTCTGGTTTTCTGGTGGTTTATTGGAGATGAGTCTCATATGGGGCTGGGCAGGTGGCTCAGTGGTAGAGTCCTTGCCTTGCATGCCTGAGGCCCTGGGTTCAATTCCTCAGCACCACATAAGCACAAAGAAAAAAGCCAGAAGTGGTGCTGTGGCTCAAGTGGTAGAGCGCTAGCCTTGAGCTGAAGAGCTGAGGGACAGCGCCCAGGCCCAGAGTTCAGGCCCCACAACCGGGCCAAAAAAAAAAAAGAGTCTCATAGACTTTCCTACCCTGGCTGACTTTCAATCTTGATCCTCAGATCTCAGCCTCTTGAGTATCTAGGATTATAGGCATGAGCCACCGGTACCCAGCAATACCAACATTTCATGCCTGGGGCTGGCTTTGAACTTCGATCCTCAGGTCTGTCTCCTGAGGAGTTGGGATTACCGACGGGCGCCAGCCACCGGCACCTGACTCTAGTGGTTTTTCATGTCCCGGCGGACATGGCAGACAGCAAGGAAGGGGCGCTGCACGATGAGCCCTTGAGCCCCCCTCCCCGCCCACTGGCAGAGGCTGGTTCCTCCTGACACAGGAAGCCTGCGAGGCCTTCCCCAGGGACTCTCCAGGTTCCGTGGCACATGGCAGGCTTCCTCAGCCTGTGCCTGCAGGTCCCTACCCAGGCGGTGGCTTGCATGGCTGTTCGGTTGTATTAGAGTTAGGACAGGCAAGGTGAACCTTGGGCCCTGCCACCCCCATACACAAAGGGGTGCTGGGCCAGGCCTGATAGCAGGGATCCCCCTCCAGGGACCTCGGGCAAAGGTCCCGTTCTGGCTGACCAACTCCAGGAAGAAGGGAGGGGATGCTGGCCAGGGCCCCGCCCTCTTGCTTTAGTGGAAATTCCAGAGGTGGTTAGGAGGTATAGAAGGGGGGCTATAACCACCCACCCGGGCCACGGGGTTCTCCAGTTCTCAAATTCCAGCTTCTCAGAAGGAACACAAGCTCCCCACAACTGGGCCCACCCCACAACTCCTACCCCTGTGCCATCTGCAGATGTGGGTACTGTGGCAGAGCTCAGGGGCTGTCCCTGTCTACCGGCTCAGGTTCACAGCGCCGCTTCTGCAGGCTGGCCGTGGGCAGGGTGGCTGTGCCCTCCCTCTGCCCTCCCCCCTCCTCAGGATTGCTAAGCTCTGCCCCTCCCTTCGAGGTCACCCAGGTCCTGCCTGATTTCCCTATCTAAGCGGGTGCTCCTGGTTGGGAGTTGAACTCCTCTATCTCCTGCGTGAGGAGCAGGACATTTCTTTCTACTGTAACCCTGTCATACTAAAAAAATCCTGCTAAAATTAATATAACAAAATGTAGACCTTCTTTTTCTGGCGCCTCTTGCTGAACTTTTCCTCCCGGCGTTTCTCATTCCTCATCTGCTACATGGGCTTCTGCTCTGCAGGTGGTCCCTGAGGGTGCATAGTAGGTGCTCAGTTAGCACCCACCAATGGTGGATGGTGAGGTATCTGCACATCTCACAGGGAAGACCTCACAGGCCCAGCAGGCCCAGAACCCAGTGTTCCTTGTCCTTGTGGGGTCCAGAAGGAAGCCAGGAAGCAGCCCCTTGCTCCTCACCTCCCATCTATGCATGGGACCCCCAACCTGCAGGCTGGTGCCTGGGGGATGGGGAACTCCAGTTCCTGTGGCTGAGCCACTGTGGTGTCCCGTCTAACCTCCCAGAGGGCCACGTGTCCCTCTGCAGGGCTGTGCTGAGGGGGTGAGAGCTGCCTGGCCAGGAACCTGGTCATGTGTGTCAGCGTGCGCTTGTGTGTGCGTGTACAGAGCAGGAGAGTGGGAACGAGCCGCCCAGGCTAGCGGAGACCTGGGCAGGGGCATGGGAGTCATGAGCTGCCTTACCTGGCTCAAGTTCAGGGGGAAGGAAGGTGAGACCTTCCTGGCTCAGCCTCAGCGCTGCCAGCAGGCCATGTCCAGCGGCTCAGCACTGGCCACTCCTACTGTGTCCTTCCTGCCATGCCTGACTAGTGAATGTGTGCCTGTGTGCTTGTCTGTCTGTCTGTGTTGGAAATAGTAGGAAGCCAGGCTCTGGTGGCTCACGCCTGTCATCCTAGCTACTCAGGAGGTTGAGATCTGAGGATCAGGGTTGGAAGCCAGCCCTGGGCAGGAAAATCCATGAGACTTATCTCCAACTAACCAGCCAAAAGCTGGAAGAAGTGGAGCTGTGGCTCAGGTGGTAGAGCACCAACCTTGAACATACAAGTTAAGGGACAACAGCCAGGCCCTGAGTTCACACCCCAGTACCAGAAGAAGAAGAAGAAAAGTGATAGAAAAATGTATTTAGGAAAGCACACTGAATAGATTGCAAGTAGGTCATCTCTAGGGTGAGAATGGCCCGAGGGGAGCTTTCTAGCAGCTTCCTTGTGTGTCAGCTAAGCAAACACCTGAGCGGGCTGAAGGGCATCTCCATGAAGCCAATCCCTGCCGCCACTTACAGGGTGCAGCCGAAAGTGCTGGCATGAACCCACACCCCAGCACTGGCACGCTCAAAGGAGACAAGGTGGCCAGTGGAGCTGTCCACACAGGGTGACCACATGACAGCAACCCCGTCACTGTAAACACACAAACAACCCAGAATGAGGGGTTTCCGAGTGCCGCCGAGGCCACCTCTGGGGACCCCAGGAAAGTCCCCTTACTCACAATTCCATCACATTGGAGGGCTTTGTCATGAGAATGGCTTCAGCTATGACTGGCAACATTACAACTCAGACTAATTGTGTAGTCCGGGGCATCACCGTGCTCACACAAGTGTCACATCCAGATGCGGGGAGGGGGCTGGGCCTCTGTCCCCCAGGGACTCTCCCCCCCCCCACAGGACACTGGCTTGTCCCAGAGAAGTGGCCTCACTTCCCTATCCTGTCCCCAGGGCGTGCATTCAGCCACACTTCACAATCTGGGCCCCATCCATCTGCTCGTCATTCTGGGGCCCCTCTATACCTGTTTCCTTATCCCAGGGTGTTTTTGGCCCCCCCAAAAAACAAAATTCCTCCCCCCTCAACAGATCGCAAGTTAGCTTTTATTTTTAAACTATACAGCCAGGCTCACCCTGTCATTCTAGCTCCGCAGAGAGCTGAGATCTGAGGATCTCAGTTCAGAGGCAGGGAGGTCTGGGAGACCTTTTTTCTTTCTTTTGTGCCAGTCCTCATGCTTAAACTCAGGGTCTGGCTGTTGTCCCTGAGCTTTTTAGCTCAAGGCTAGCACTCTACACTGGCTTCTTTTTGACTTTCCTGCAGGCTGGCTTTGAACTACAATCCTTAGATCTCAGCCTCCTGAATAAGGATTACAGGCAGGAGACACCAGCACCGGGCTAGGAGATTCATCTCCAATTACCACCAAAAAGACAGGAGTAAGTGGAGCTTTGACTCAAGTAGTAGAATGCCAGCTAGCCTTGGGTGAAAAAGCAAAGGGACCTTGCCCAGGCCCTGAGTTCAAGCCCCAGTACTGTCCCCCCCCCCGAATTTTATAAACTTGATTTAAGAGTAATGAAAAAAGAATATATCAAAGTACAACTGAAGGTTTCCCACACTGGTGAAATTTCTCTTAACCACCAAGTCATCCAAGCAGAATTTAAGGTCTACCACAATCCCCACCCTACTTTGGGGGCCCAAGCGGAAGGCATGGCTGAGGCCAGACACCTGCCCCCACCCCAGACATGAATCCCACAGGCTCTCTGCCGTTCCTCACTTAGCTCTGGACACCTGGCTCTGTTGGGGCCATGGAAAACACACAAACACTTGTATTATATGAGTAATTCCATGACGGCCCCCGAGTGGCCGGCCTCCCCCTCTCTCCAAGGTGACGGATGCTGTAATTCTGTCAGTGACTCATAGCTCTTGCCTTCTCTCTTGGGGCCTGGAGGTGGGGGGGTGGGGAGCTCCCAGTCTTCGAAGGAGGCAGAGCACCAAAAGCTGGGCCATGGAGGCTCCTGAGGGGCCCTGAGTTCTCAGCCCCAGCCCCAGTGGGCCTCAGGACAGGCGCTTTCAGTCTGCTCCAGCCCCTAATGTCTGGTACTAAGCGAGATGCTTGGTGTGCAGAGCTCTGGGACCCTAACAGAAGCAGAGAATCAACTACCAATAATGCTGGAAGTGGGTGTGGGGAGAGGGTGTGGCCATTTGCCCTTGTCCCCATCCCTATTTGGTTAAAAAACAAAACAAAAACATGGTCTCTGGGGGGCTCTACCCCAGGCTCCCCTCCACCCCACCATATACCCACATTCACCCAGACCCACCTCCCCAACCCACTTCTCCTTTGTCAGCTGCCCTGCCGCCTACACCTTCCTGCTGTAGTCACGGGCCCATAGGCAGAGCCCGGGCCTGCAGGAGTCCTTAGGGTCTCCTGAGGTAAAGCAGGGGGCAGGCTTGTTCCCTTCACTAGGCGGTGGGCCGCTTCATCATGGCTCTGCGCTGGTCCAGGGCTCTAGCTTCCATTCTGCTCCTTCCAGTCTCTGGCTCACAGCAGCCAGGGAAGGGGCCCTTCTAAATAAAACAGCTAGATGTCAGTAGCTCACTGTAGTCCCAACTACTCAGAAGCCTGAGATAGGAGGATGGCAGTTCAAAGCCAGCCTGGGCAAGAATGTCCGGGAGACTCTTCTCTCCAATGAGCCACCAAAAAAATGAAACAGTGGAGCTGTTAAACAAAAAAGCTCAGGGCCAGTGCCCAGGCCCCGAGTTCAAGCCCCAGGACCAGCAGAGACACAAAGAGCCCAGAGAGACCCCCATACTCTGACACACCAGGGCTCCTCCCTGCCCACCCTGGGGCTCACCCTGCACCCTGGGAGCCCCTGTGCTTCTCCCAGCATTCTCCACGGCGGGGTTGTCCAGGCCTGATTCCAAGTCTGGGGACGCAGTTCCTTCACCCCCCCCAGCCTTTCCTATGCCAATCCCCAGCCCCCGCCCCCACCGTGTGGCTGCTCAAGATCTGTCTCCCCCTAAGCTTCTCTGCCCTTCCTCTGGGTGCCCACCACCCCACCCCGAGTGTTTAGGAGTCTGGACGGTCCACCCCAAGGTATAGCCTGCTGCGGGCTGCGAACTTCCTGGGGTGCACTGCAGCCCCCCACCACATACTGGAAGGGGTGGCTTGTGTGCCACAGCCTCCAGGGGACTCCAGGAGGAAGGGGAGGCGCAGGCGAGGAAGGGGACAGGAGCCTCCGACCCGCTCCCCTGGGCCTGCCTGCACCCCCTCATCCCTCCCCCCCACCCCCCACCCCAAGAGAGGCTCCCTGTCCGTCCACTCAGCGGCCCAGGCCAGGCCTCACACCCACCCACTCAGATCGCCAGGCTGGGCCCCGCTCTGGGGAGGGGGAGCGGGAGGGGCGGGACTGCCCGGCCCGAGCCCGCACTGGGGGTCGCCGGGGTCCCCGGGGCCCTGCACAGCTGGCGG